CTTGACGGCTACTTCTTCTGGGACAAGTACAAGTACCAGTACGTCTAGTACCACACGAGCTGCTGTTGCTCTGAATGATCCACCCGTCTCGTCAAGTCGGCAAAGGAGCTCGACGCTGACTATTACCCCCACTTCAGACTTGATTTCGCTATCCAAGAGTACAAGCAATGCTCCGGTGCCTGTTCACGTACCTGTGGGGCTTGCGAAACCCAAGGCACCTGTAGCAAGGACCGTGGTGTCTTCGTCCGAGGAATCCTCCTCTTCATCTGAAGAAGAATCCGACTCTGAATCAAACAGATCACCCGTGTCCACAGCACCAGCCTCCGCTTCCAGACCTCCAATTGTGACTTCCAAATCTTCCTTTGGTACTGCACAAAGACGCCCCGCTAATCCTAACGCGGCGTCGAGACCCAGAAGCAGTACCACGTCGAGTCTCGTCTCCATGTCTGCTTCCCAGAGTCTTCCGCCTTGGAACAATGCTCATTCTGGGCCTACAAAACCATTTGCTGTTTCGAGAGAAAGTCCAGCGAGCTCTACAGGTGACTCGAGTAGCGGACGAGTGCCTATTACGCCAAGGGATGGTAGTGATATTGGAGGTAGTGGAAGTGACTTTGGAAGTAACAGATTTTCTTCAAGGGATTCTAGTGCGGATCGCGCGAGACCGGGTAGACATGATTCACCTTCTGGGCAACAGAAACAATATAGCGGAGGTGCAAGTGGTTTGGGTCTTGGGAAGCATATCAAACGGGCGAGTGTTTCGTTTGAGGACAGCGGTGCAAGCAAAGGAAAGGGTCGGGATACGCCAGAGGAGGAAGAAGAAAGGAGAAGAGAGAGGCGAAGAACCGAGGCGAAGGCTGCTATCGATGTGCGTGTTTTTTCAGTTCGCTTGTTCCGATTAACTGACTCTTTGACACGTAGTTGGGTAATGTTATTAACGGGCGTGGACCAGTCGTTGATGATGACGACGATGACTTGCCTATCAGCCAGACAACTGCCGTCAGTACCATGGGCGCCATGAACCCTATGATGACCGGTTCCATGTCTATGATGCCGGGATTCCCTTCACAACCTGGTGCACCAGGATGGGGAGCATGGCCTCAGATGCCTCCCAATCCACAAATGTCTCAGTTTATGGTTCCGCCGCCGTCTGATCCTTCATTCTTTGCTGCACATCAGCAAGCCATGATGTTTGCTAAACAAGCCTATCAAATGGCTGTCGCTCAACAAGCAATGGCAGCAGCGGCAGAAGAATGGGAACGTGGTTCGGCTATTGGGTTTAGTAGCAGTCAAAGCATGTACGGTGGAGCTTCGGGGCCGCCGATGATGAGTTCACCTTATGGTATGGGTATGGGAGGTGGGAATGGATGGTCAACAGGCTCGGTGATATTCCCTAGTGGTCCGAGGTCTTCTGTTTATGGTGGTGGTGCACAAAGCGAATATGGAGGTGGCGGAAGAGGTGGTGGATGGAACTCATCTCGTAGTGTCTATGGGGAATCATTTGGACCTTCACCCTCGGAGCGACTAAATAGACCCAGCTTTGGTGGTCAGCGTTCGTCTGTGTTCAGCCAACGCGACTCGAGTTACTTCCCGCCGGTGCCGCCTGTGCCTCAACAACACAAAAACCAACCTCGACAGTCGACGGCGTCATCAAATCCTAGAAATCGAGCGATTAGCCAACCTTCGAGTCCGGCGCGAACTCCAAAGAAACCACCGCCATCAAGCTGGAAAGCAGGTGTTTGATGGACAGGCATCTTGTGAACTATTTTGCTTCATTATTATTTCTCTTCCATGACCCATCCACACCTATCCGCTCCCTTGAGTCTTCAATGCATCTTTTTCGCTTTCTCTTTTGGACACTCGATTTGGCCAGGAATCCAAAACAGGATGAATCTATCCTTGGCGCAATCTCAGTTGTAGGTCAGTTAGGGACCACCTAGTTATTATTTTGTCGTCTATTTTTTATGATATCGATACAACGCAACATTTTTCTAGTTACACTTTAGAGGCTCATCTCATGCTTTTAATCCCCAACTTTCTTTTCACGATACTCTTTTTTCCTTTCCAATCTCGCATCTGTACTTTTTGCATATCTCATACCCTTTGGTTACACACACACAAGTTGTCTACATACAAAGACAGAATAGCTGCCATTTTCAGTTTGAGGACTCGATGGCTTTTTTGAAGAAGATGGATGTACTACTTATTATATATATGAGCACCATTCTTTGACAAAACACATGTACAAGAAAGAAGATTGTCGACGGGAGGAGGAGGTCACGTCACAAGCAGGGGTTTCTTTACTCCACCGTGGACTCTCCGCAAATGCGCGTTTCCTTGAATACTACAAAGTCGAGCACTGGATTATCATTCATTGAAGGAATACAGCCAATGAATGGCTGAATGCCCTGTTTCGAGACAGACTGGAAGGCCTTAATTCGCAACCAATAGATGACATCTTCGAAAAAGGTTTGATACTGCATCCGCAGAATAATGGATGTCCCGGAAGCAAGTTAGTAACCTTGCCATTCAAGTTCGTGTCTCCTTATTCCACGCCTCTAGATCGGCCTGGAGACCGCTAGGCTTACCATTCAGCTTTTTAAAATCGAATGATCATATTCTCCATGTATTTATCAATACATAACACCTCCGAGTTCTACCACTGGGTGATGGTACCACTCTCATTCTTGACAGATGGTACGACTCTGATTTTTATGATGTTCTTATAATCTATTCTAGACAAAGTTCTGGGATATCTTTGTTTTTTCTTACAGGGCGTAGACTCTTCCAGTCGACGTAAATGTCTTTTGCAATGAGTGCCAACATCAGCGACACTTTTTCGCCTTCTCTTCCCGTTGTTGTAGATGGTTGGGAAGGGTATCTAGCTCAGGTCGGAGATCTATCGCATCCAAAGATCTTTTTGCTAGCTTGCATCAATCTTCCGGTTCTGGCTATTGCTGTAAATGTTTTCTGGCAGTTGGTATGTCTCCTTTCGTTTTAGGCAAATATATGCTCAACTATATGCTCAACTATCGGCACACAGCTTATACCCCGACGCAAATCTGACCCGCCGCTCGTTTTCCACTGGCTTCCGATTATCGGTTCTGCTATCGAATATGGGACTGATCCTTTAAAGTTCTTTTTGAATTGTAGGGAGAAGGTACGTTGCTGATGGCGTTCCAAACGTATGGCGACTAATGATAAACGCAGTATGGAGACGTCTTCACCTTCATCTTATTTGGTCGTCGTGTCACCGTCGCTTTGAGTGCCAAAGGTAACAACTTTGTCTTGGGAGGAAAATCGACTGTCTTTGGTGCAGAGGAAGCTTATCAGGTGTGCTGAAAGCCCTTTTTACTGAATATAGCTTGCTCAGCGATACCCTTGTATATAGCACTTAACAACACCTGTCTTTGGCAAAGACGTCGTATACGATGTTCCTAATCACGTATTCATGGAACAGAAAAAGTTTATCAAAGTTGGTCTCACCACGGATAATTTCCGCAAATATGTCGATATGATTGTCGAGGAAGTAGAAACTTTCCTTGAAAATGACCCAGCCTTTACGGTCTACCAAAGTCGAGACTTGAGCAAGTGGGGACATTTTGATCCATTCGAAGCCTTGGCGGATATTACTATCCTAACAGCCTCGAGAACACTTCAAGGAAAGGAGATCCGTTCGAGTCTTGATAAATCTTTTTCCAAGTTGTATGCAGACCTTGATGGAGGTTTTACTCCTATCAACTTTTTGTTCCCGAATTTGCCTTTGGAGAATTATCGTAAACGCGATGCTGCGCAGAAAAAGATGAGCGAGTTTTATGTCAACATTATACAGAAGCGGAAGGAGGGCAGAGTAGTATGTTTATCGTTAAGAATCTTTAGATGGATCGCTGATTCGACTCACATAGGTTGAAGACGACATGATCTCCTCTCTAATGAGCCAGCAATATCGTTCGGGAAATGTTTTAAGAGACCACGAAGTGGCTCATATTATGATTGCTCTTTTGATGGCTGGACAACATACGAGTTCGATAACTAGTACTTGGGCTCTCCTCAACATGGCGGCAAAGCCAGGTTTCGTGTATGTTTCTTAGCTCATTTGTTCGCTCATATACTGATACGTTAGCTCAGCGAAGCCTTGTACAAGGAACAAGTACAGTATTTCGGGACACCAGACAACAAGTTTAGACCACTGACCTACGAGGAGCTACGTGAACTCCCCCTCCTGGATGCTACAATCAGAGAAACTCTCCGCCTCCATCCGCCCATCCATAGCATAATGCGGTATGTCCGTGAGGATGTCTCAGTACCACCATCATTCGCTGCGCCGTCCAAAGACGACGTCTATATTGTTCCAAAAGGCAACTATGTTCTCGCCTCTCCCCTCGTCTCACAAATGGACCCGGCAATTTGGAAGGACTCTACAAAGTGGGATCCATATCGTTGGAGTGATCCGGAGGGTGCAGCGGCGCGGGCATTGAAGACTTACGTGGATGGAAATGGGGAGAAGATTGATTTTGGGTTTGGGGCGGTTAGTAAAGGAACGGAGAGTCCGTATCAACCTTTTGGTGCTGGTAGACATAGGTGTGTCGGTGAACAGGTAGGAGATGTGACCAACTTTGCTATAATGATCGTTGCTGATTTGTCTCGAATAGTTTGCTTACCTTCAACTAGGTACCGTTATCGCGACGCTGGCCAGGAAGATGGAAATGGACATTCCAACTGGTGTTCCGGGGCGCAACTATCATATAAGTTCATGGTTTCGAGTCTGCTTTCAGCATATTCTTACGCCTGTTTTGCGATGAAGACCATGATTACAATACCTAAGAACCCTAGACAGATTCGTTACAGAAGGAGGAATGTTGAGTGAATACTGGGCTACAAGAAATTCATGTTCTTATCCAACGTATACATACTGCGTTTTCTGTCCTTTCAGTGAAAATAAGATAAAATTCCTTGTTGTCGATGATAAGATGATCAAAAAGTAATCCTTGCCCATTTCCGAATCCGACCAGCCTGGTTCGAACAGGCGACCCCAAGATGGCATCCAATTACAGTTTTGTGCTCTTCCAACTGAGCTATGGTCGGTTGGGACAATGGACCGAAAGGAAAGTAGATTACGCGTCCTCAGAAAAAGTAGTGTGTCAGGGCTGATTACAATCGGGGGCCATTACCCGCACGGTAACGTCACTGTCACACGATTTCATATGTCCCCCGATACGTTTACGAACGTCGAAGAGACGCTCGATATTTTTCAGTTTTCCTCATGTCATCGAGTGAACCCGAATATGACAACAACGAAGAAAGCGAGCCTGTAGAAAAGGGCACCAAGAAGAGGAGAATTCAGAGCGAGTATCCAGTAGATCCAGCTTCAGCTCTTCGAAATAGGAAGGCTTGTGATACCTGCAAACGCAAGAAAAGTAGGTTTGATCTGCATATATCGGAAAGACTGACGCTAACGCGAAATTAGTACGATGTACCTGATTTCCTTTTGACCCCCTGAGGACCGCTGCTGAAATGTAAATTGTAGGCAATGGCTCGAATACATCAGGAAATAAATGCTCCAACTGCATAACCCACAACATAGAATGCACTTATGTGGATCCTGGCAAGGTGCGCTATTGACCCTTTCTCATTCTTGGCTTATCCTGAAGCATTGGCAGAAACGGGGTCATGCGGAGCCGTCAGTTCATATCTTAGCAGGATACAGCGTTGACTGAGCATCCTCTAGGTCATTCAAGTCACTGGGAACACGCTTGGATAAGATGGAAAATGTCTTGCAACAGGTACGACTTTCCGCAATCCACTATATCCTTATTCATCTCGGGATACGTAGTTATTCCCAAACTCGGACATTGTACCCAAAGAGTGAGCTGAAAGCGCATGACCTACACTGAGAGCGGACCTGATCCGTTATACCTGCAGTAAAGCTGGTAACAATAAATTAGGATCTATGGAAAATCGCCTGAAGCGGGTGGAAAGAGCACTACAGCGAGTGCGTAGTTGTTTTTCTCATGACTCCGTTTTTCTGAATGACTGCTAGTATGTGCTACCCGAGTCCGACCCATCTCATGATTCCGAAATAATAACGAACATTGTTCAGGGTCAAGACTCGTTTTCATCCGGCCAGTATACTCCTCAAGTGACCCCTTCCCCTCGGACACAGACACCACCATATGCTGAACCATCTTCCTCAGCATCAATACCGAAAGTGTTCTCCTTGGACCTCGACGGCGAAGACAACAAGGACTCTGTTCTTGACAAGGATCCATCATCTTTAGGCGTACTCGACGAAGATGATGATATTCATAACCGCATGATTGACGACCTCAAACGACTGCAAGTGGACCCCGCGGAACTACGGTTCTATGGCAAATCTTCCAACGCTCAACTCGTTCGAGAAGCGGTAGATCTCAAACAGGTGTACACCGGCCAAGAGACAGATATCGACGGTGTTGTGCTGGGACGGAGGCGTCCTGAATTCTGGACTGGGCCAGCAGACAAGGGGCCGGCAATGAAGAGGTGGTCATTCATTTCAGAGGTGTGCCCGTTTGCTTCAGCCTTGGGTTTTCACTCTTAATATATGCCTGCATATGACTAGTGGGAGAACAACATAACTAAAGTGTACCACCCTAACTATGTCTACCCTCCTCCAGATCTCCTTCATTCCCTGATTGACCTTTACTTTCGTTATGTTAACGCTCATCTCCCTCTTCTACATCGACCGACATTCGAGAAAGCCGTGGCAGAGGGGCTACACTTACGAGCACAGAACCACGAAACTGATGGAGACGACGAAGCAATGTTTGGTGCGGTGCTCCTATTAGTGTGTGCTGTAGCCTCAAGATATTCAAACGATGAGAGGGTCTTGTTCAATCCTGCGCAGGATACTGGCGAAGACAAATCCGGGAAAAAGGACTGGCATTCGTCTGGGTGGAAATACTTCAACCAAGTTCAAGCGATGAGAAAGAGTATCCTAGCATCCCCGACACTGCATGATTTACAGTTTTACGCTGTATGCTCAAGATTTTTTGTCACGCTATCTCTTAATGACTCTATGTTTTGACAGCTGTCGGCACTATTTTTCCAAGGATCTCATTCTCCACACAATTGCTGGGCCCGAATCGGTATCGGGATACGTATGGCTCAAGATATAGGCGTACATAGGATGAGAAAGAGCAGAACTATAGAAGATGAGCTATTGAAACGAGCTTTCTGGTAAACTGATCATTCATCATCTACTGCGATCCCTAAACCTTTACAACAGGGTACTCGTATGCCTCGACAGAACTCTCAGTGCTGGCCTTGGAAGGTCATGTGCCATTCAAGATGAAGATTACGACCTCGACTTTCCTCTTGAAGTCGACGACGAATATTGGGAGCATCCTAATCCAGAAATGATGTTCCGACAACCGCCGGGAAAACCTTCCAAAATCGCTGCGTTCAATCTGACGTTGAAGTTGACTAGGATTATGGGGAGGGCGCTTCGCACAATTGTGAGTGACATGAATTGATTCACAACACGGCTGGTCTTGATGTCCACTTCTGTAGTATGTCATCAGTAAATGGCGGTTCGGATACAATGCCTATCCTCGCTGGGAGGCGCAAGTGGTCGCAGACTTAGACTCGGCGCTTAACAAGTGGATTGACTCAGTTCCTGAACACCGTGAGCTTTAGATTCTCCTTGGTCACATCTTTATACTGATTACACTCCTCCAGTCCGATGGAATACCAACCAACAAGACCTAGTTTTCTTCAATCAATCTGCAGTGATGTATACATACTATTACGCTGTCAGAATTCTCATACACCAGCCTTATTTCCGAAGACAGCACCTGGGTCAAACCTCCAGTACACTCACTTTCCCCTCAATAGCAATATGCGCGACGGCAGCGAGATCTTGCGTTCGTGTAGTTGAAGCATACAGAAAGAGAAATGTGCAGGGTGTCATGTTTCCGCATGCTGTTGTATGTATCAACACTGATCATCGTAACGTAGCTTCTCATCATTATTTTATCTAGTTTTCACAATTCACATCGGGCATCATTCTACTGCTTAATGCCTGGATGACCAGACGTTCTAGTACCAAGCAGGCGACGTGCACAGGCAACAAGGACCAAGACCCTGATATGGAAGACGTTTACAAATGCATGGGCGTGCTGAATGCTTATGGTGATCGATGGATGTCCCCTGGTCGACTGTAGTGAGTCTTTCTCCTGATCCAGTCTTGCGGGATAATAGTCTTATATCTGGCAGTGACGTTTTGTACCACCTCATGGCTACCGACCCTGGTCTCTCACCGACAGGTTCGGTGGATGGCATTAATCATGCCTTGTCATCATCCTCCTTCTCCGCTTCTTTACCCGATCCGTCCTTACAACCAGCCTCATCTGCGGACTACCCATTCATGGAAACCTTCATGGATATTTTTGGACCCGAATTTGTATTCGACTATGGGGATTCATTCATGAGTGCTTTACAAGGACATGATGCCGATATGGCTAATAATCCTGTCGAACCTTCTTTTGAACCGGCTCAGCCAACAACTATATCACCGCAGTCGTTGTTGCTCCCGTCTGCAAATATGCAGTCGGTGCAACAGCCAGTGTGTGGTCATGAGGGGCCGGGTGCTCCTGTCCAAGACTTGGATTCTGTTTTTCCCCTGGTAGGAGCTGGTATGACAATGCAAGATTTAGATAATGAGGTTTCGCCCTTCGGTTTCGGCTCCCACTTTACGGAACTTGACCGGGGGAATCGCTTCGAATCCTTTGGAAATGCGCAAGTTGCGACATCGTCGTTACAGTCAGGAGTACATGGATATAGACAAGATGGCGCAGATCGTGTATTTGACAGTAGCTATAGATGAGTATTATTCGTAGACCAATCTGCTCTTCATTCAACGACGAGATATTAGCTGTATGTCAAGTGTTATCCGTAATCTGTGCAGAGCTGAGTCCTGCGGACCGTTACTCCGATGACGTTCTTTGTGGTACTTTCTTTGTTTTTCTCGATCTGTATACTCGGTGGCCAGTATGAGTGTCTCTCTAGTAGCGATTGGATGACTCGTTTGGTACAGCATCTGCCATTACAAGAGCAGCCAGACATTCGCCTTTGTCGTGCTTATACATCCCGACTAGATTTAGATTAGAAGCTCAACGGATATGAATTCTCCCAAGTGCAGAGGTTTGCCCGTGTTGCGGGCGCCTCCACAACAAAGACTGTTCTCCAATATATCTATTCTTTCGCTAATCCTTTCTTCCTCGGAACGATTTTGCCATACAGAATTGGGATTTCATGTGCACGACCGCGTCTATTACTCTCCGTTTGCAGAGTCAAAGTGACGAGCTACTCACGAAGCCCGGGCCTTAAATATTGTTCATATATCCCTAACTTCTTGTCTATCCTCATATTCCCAGGTCATTATGACAGACATGTACTTCACCAGTGAAGACGGCATCCATTATTCCAGGCGGCTGCATGGAAGAGAACGGCTGTCCGCCACCAATACGTATGTTCCGTCTTCTCTATACATCCTGTTATCACCAGTACCTTGACCAGATCACGTCGTCTAGTCATTACGCTGATGGTTACAGTCAAACTGTCTCGCTGGGCGAGGTTCAGCTAAAGAGTCGTCTATCTCAAGAGCAGCTAGCCCCCTATGTCAAGGCCGCTTGGACCCAGTTACGATTTATGGTCCCGTGGATGGCCATGCGAACATCAAGCATCAATCCTAAAGACAATTCCTTTCTTTATTCGTACGAGGTCCCTCGGAATCAAGATGTCATCAATGCATGGGCAGATGAGACGATCGTTTGGCGTCATGAACTGCTGGAGTTTGCAGAATGGGATGTGATGTTGAAACAGACGTTCTGGAGACCAGGAGATAACCGACACGGTCTCGAGTTGCATATAGCAGCGTTGCCAAATGGATACTGGATGATGGGGTGAGTTTTATATTGTCTTTTTCTCGAAGCCTGAAGGGCTGAAAAGTTATCAGGTTGACGGCACCTCATTGGGTTACTGACGGAAGAGGTATATTTCCGGTCACAAACCAATACTTTTACTGCCTTCAGGCTGAACTGGAAGGA